TCCTAGAGGCAGTTATTGGCCAAATTAGGTCTACAGAGAACCTGCTTAAAGATAGACCCGTATCGTGATTAAGCATCGAAATGTATATTTTAAAATAGTATGAATTTTTTTTTCCCTTTGGCCTGCATAATTTCCTCTGGGAGATATTTTAACTGTATCATCAGAATTGTTTCTACATATTATTCAACAGCATTTTTCTATATACTCTAATAGTAACACAATTTTACCTTTATAAATGTAATTATACATTTACTTATTTCCAAAGTAATTGTCAAACTTATTAAATGATTAAATTTGAAATATATGAATTAAAAAAAGAAAGACTAGTTAACTATAATCCCCCAACCCAGAGGAAAATGTTAATATTCTCCTGTTTTCTCCTTTAGTCCTTCTAATATACACATTATGTTTTTTTTAACTGAATATAGTGGTATTTGTATTTATCCTTAATAATATATTTCATCATATTAAAAAATGCATTTTATCATATCGTTAAATAATAATCTATGATATATCATTCTCAGTTGCTATTTATAGCTTAACTTAAACCAGTCACTTATTATTATTTTTAGATTTTTTTTAATTTTTACCTTAAAAAACACCTGTAGCAAAGAAAAAAACTTTTATAGCAGAATCTTTGGAAATTTGTCTAATTATTTATCTTAATTTATCAACCTACTTCACAAATTTCCATTTGTAACTAAAATACCAATTTACTAAGACTGAAAATACTAGGCCCATTCCATCATCTTTAACTCAGTTAAAAAAGAAATTCTAAATCTTTCTAAATCTTTAAAATCCCCTTATTTTCCACCTTCTTAATTTTTTAACATCTACCCCAAAGTATTTCATTTTTATGCACTTGCTTATGTCAACATAAAAAAAGATCCAACATTTTGCACACACACAAAAAAAAAGATTATTTCAAGATAACCATCAGGCTTTGAAAACTTTTTTGCTTTCAACACTTTCACAGTACAAATGAACTTGGTCATGATCCAATTTAAATGAAAATAGAATAAAAACTCTAGTACAAGTCACACGAATTAGGTAATAATTTTCTGCAGTGTTAGACCCTCAGAAAGATAAAGACGCTTCCTTCTGGCTAAGCCTTACTCTGTTGGTCAACCAGACAGTCTGGGAGGAGAGACTAGCTCCCTGCTCCTATATATGCAAACGACCCTTAGAGGAAAAAGTAAGCACAGATTTCCTTCTCAGATAATAAAATTCCATCAAAAGATTTATTTCTGAGGCTGCAGCCGAAAATAAATGACCGTGGGATAGTCACATTCTTAGAAACATTTCCATGTTCACGAGAAGGGGCCCTGTCTCCCTGTAATCCTGGGGTCAAGCATCCTGCAAAACTCATTTATGCCACTCGGAACGGTGGCTTCTGTGGAGTTTGCAGCCCAGGCTTTCCAAACAAATGAGCTTTTTCATTTGTTCCTAATGACTTTGGTTTACACAAAGAGATCTTAAAGTGTCCCCAGAGCAATCATTTTGCTAACATGTTATTAGAACATCTTTGCAAATTTAGCCACAAAAGGGGCTTCGTTAACCCGATGGAAATCATCGGGGACCGAGGCCCTTAGCGACCCCAGCACTTGCCAGTCCTGCTTTATCTTCGGCGATGGGTACAGGAATCTTGTGACCCACAACCTGACCCTTCGTCTGGGGGTGGGTCAGAGGATGACTTGATGCCATGGGGAGGGTGCTAGAAGGAGTCGCAGCAGTATTCTCTGACCAGCTCTGCCCTTGCCCCCAGAGGGACACCTGTCACCCTGAGCCAGCACGCCCCTGTGGCATCTGCTCAGAGCTGAGACTGTGGGTCTGCGGGGCCTGCTGCAAGACCTGGGGCTCCGGCTCCTTCACCCGGACCTGCCTCAGGCTGGAGATCATACATGGAAGCATATGTGTGTCTCATTTTCATAGTCCTCAGATTTGGTGAATCTGCTATGCACAGAGGGACAGCTGCTGACAAGCTGAAGGTTGGCCTGTACCCAGATTATGGGGTCCTCCTCGTGGTTTGGGGCTGCAGCTTCAGGTCCAGAACGGGCCCCATCCCGGGTGGCCTGTCTGTCATCTTACCCAGCACTTTATTGCTGAGTGGCCTTGTAGGAGTTGCTTCTCCTTGCTCTGCGTGCAACCGGAGTGGCACAGAGTGGCTCTCACGTACACCAAGAGCCTCTGTCCTTGTGCTCACCCAGAGGCTGCGTTTTAACGAGAGTCACTTCAGTGCTGGTGAGCGCCGTGGATATTCCAAGGCTGGAAATACAGTCTTGCCAACATTGACTATATCTCGAAGATGACTGATTAAGCTGCGTGTCAGAAAATTAAGTTAAAAAAAAAAGATTAGAGGTGACACTGTGGCCAGTTCAACACTGAGAGAAGGACAGATTGGATGCGTCACTATTATTCTGTAGCCCATGGGGTAGGCCCAGGTGATAGCACCCTCCTAAGGGATTTTTTTTTAAATTTTTTTGTTGTTTTTACTCTCTATCAGATGGCGTTTTATGGAACAACAGAAAATCAGAATTCAGTGGCAATTATTTGATGAGTAGGACTAATAAAAATCAATGTATCATACTTTGGTTGTCATTAGCCATCTCTAAGCTGATAAAAATGGGAAAGACTTTCCTGTGCAGGTCACCGTGGATCTCAGTTTACTATATAGTGGGGATGGTGCAAAATATCCTCCCTCCAAGCAGAGTTCCCTCTCTTGCAAAAATGTTTATAACGTGGACATCGTGATATTGTCATATGGACTAAATAAAACGTATAACCTGGAACATAGTATTGCACAGAAGTGTTGTATTCTACCTCATGCTCCTGCAGCCTGTGTCCAGGGCATTGGACAGGCCAATGCATTTGTTCATTGATACACGCATCTTGCGCAGTTCCGCATCTGCAACAGCATCTACTGAATAACAAAGTATGGGTTATTGCTAGCAACTATGGTATATGACAGTCGAGTTATTTCTAAGGAATATAGTTTAATATCTTGTGGGTGTTCCTTTTTTTGCATTTTCTATATTTCTGTATGCTTTTTCTACTTGAAACCATTGCTATTGGAGATTAATTTCATAGGCAGTAACAAACCTAATTCAATGGACTCTCTTTAGTATATTAATAGGTTAATGACTCCCTATTAAGTTAACATTAAGAAAATATACATTGAGAAAAAAAGAAAATATATAGTGACTGATGAACTGACGATTTCAGTAGACATTTTATTGTTTTTTTTTCTTGCTAATTTTTATATTGATCTCTTGGCCAAACTCATAATAATAATAATTATACAGTATTTTGCTCTGTAGCCTGTAATATTTGGGAGAAAAAAACTCATCCTTTTTTCTAGCTGTTGATAAAGACTAGGTTTTTGACTTTCTCATTAGAGTTAGGAAAACAGGGAGGCATAGTTGTCGTCACATAGGGTATCGGGGTATCAACCACGATAAATGTTGTGGCAATGTTTTCCGAAGCTCTTTGCTGGTTTCTTCTGATGTCTGTCTGTGTTCCTTTTGTTTCTTTAAAAACAAAACAAACAGAATGCTTGTTTTCTGCACCACAAAAGGGCTTCAGTCAGCAAGGTTAAAGCAACTTTTCTCTAAACACTCCAGACTACTCCAAGGAAGACAGAATGATACAGTTTTAGGCATTTCTGGGAACAATTAATGTTGTATGATACTTCTAGCAAATCTAAGCATCGGGTCTCCTGATAGACTGACCTCAGTATTTGGAGCCTTTGCCCTACTTAGCCGCTTAACGGAATATGATGAAGCCTATGTTACTGGTAAATCATTCAGGCACTTCCTCCCGTTTCCTAAATACTCCTTCAACCATAGCAGTGTATCTACCATCAGGGTCCTACATCTTTAGAAGAGATTGTTTTATCTCGCATTCCAAAGAAAACACCTCCTATCAGCCACATTCAATTCATAAGTGAGAAATTTGAATAGTAGATCACCGAATGTGACACACAGCAGAGATGTATTTTCGACTTGCTGTAAATAGTCTAGTGTTCTTTTAGGGAATTCAGTTTTTATTTTTTTTAAGATTTATTTATTTATTTATTTATTTATTTATTTATTTATGATAGACAGAGAGAGAGAGAGAGAGAGAGAGAGAGAGAGAGAGAGAGACAGGAGGAGGGAGAAGCAGGCTCCATGTCGGGAACCTGATGTGGGACTTGATCCTGGGACTCCAGGATCACGCCCTGGGCCAAAGGCAGGCGCTAAACCACTGAGCCACCCAAGGATCCCTGGAAATTCAGTTTTGAAAATGGGCATAGACTGAGACTTGAGAGAACAATAATTAGCAAAAAAAATTGCTATGGTAAAATAAACATGAGTATTTACAACTTATAAATAGTCAAGAGTAATTAGATCTACTCATGGTTTCCCACCGTAATATTTATTTTGGAGTTAAAGTCAAAATTTAGTCTATTTTTATGGTCACTTTTATCAATGTAGGGAAAAGAAATTTCTTCTTTCCCAAAATGTATTACTTATGTTTTATCTGTTTACTATGTCTATCAGTAATCTTCTGCGTTCCAATATTTGAAGACCTATTTGAGAAAATTAATTTGGAGAGATGTGTCTTCGATTTTAGGAGAAATTGTTTGTCTTATTCAAATTAGTCAGTTTTTTCAACCTCAGCTTTCTTGTCATTCTTGGGTCTACCTATTAGGAGATCTTTGGTTGATAAGTACGTTAAGGTTGGTGGAAATACAAAACATTCTGTTTGCATTTTTTTTAAGTCTTTGTGTTCTGATTTTTGTTTGAATATAATTTCAAGAGTAGAAACAAAATTTGCAACCAAAATATGGCCAGTATTTTTTTTAATATTGTTACTATAGAGTATTAACTCTCTTTTAAGTAAAACCTAATTAACAGAACTATTAAAAAAAAAAACTGACTGTAGTAGAGGAGCATCTGTCTTTAGTTTCAATGTTATGAGGTTATTAATTAACAGAAAACCACCATGGGTTGCTTCTTCAGAATACCGCTCAATGTTAGAGACATTGTCTACTGTACGGGAGTTTCACTCCTAGATGAGGATGTCTGGGAATTCATATGGATGAAATTCCACTCCACTACGGCAGTTTCTGAGAAGAAAATACTATTGGAAGCCTTAACTTGCAGTGATGACAGGAACCTATTAAATAGGTGGGTCAATTAGTTCCCTAAATTTATTTGTGTAATGAGAATACTCTCTGTTAAACTACACTGAACTTGATCTTATTTCCTTGAATATATACTAGTTTACTCTAAAAAAATCTCCCACAGCTAAGGAGAACTGCTGTGTTGACATGACGAAAGCTAATTGAATTGAAAGAGATACCTTTGTTTCTCACTAAATAGACAGTATGTCATTGTAAAAGGAAGTGTTTACTGTAAAGATTTTTCTTAAAGTGGGTTGATATCACCAGAACACACAAAAATGTGATTTCTCCATCTGCAAGGTTTTTTCAAAATTTAATTAATGAGCCAATTAAAATGCTATGAGTTTACTCTCCCCGCCTTTTATAGACAGAGAATTGTTCTGTTGATGTGTTGTATTGGGAGTGTTTACACAGGACTGTTCTTTTGAAGAATATAACCAATTAGTGCATGTAAGTTTTATAATTTCATGAAAATTTAAGCTATGGAGCTAAATTTTTTTTCTATGATTCTATCTTTAAAGGCTTTTGAATCTCTCACTGAATTCCGAGGTGGTGTTAGATCAAGATGCAATTGATGTGATAATCCATGTCGCTCGAAATCCACACGGCCGAGACCTTGCCTGGAAGTTTTTCAGAGATAAATGGAAGATATTAAATACCAGGTAGAAATGAGTTCATTCATTCATACTTGAGTGAGTAAATTAAAGGTGACGTAGGAGAGGTAAAAGCCCAACTTCTCGTGTTTTTAAAAACCAAGGTCCAGATAATAGAATTAGTTTTTAAAATAGTCAACCAAGATGGGTGTTGCCACTCCTGTGGAACTCAGAAGTATTTTAATGGTTCTATGACATTATTCATGTAGTAAAGATTAAAAACTGTGATTATATGTGGAAATGTGGGAGTAAAAAGGTTTAATAGTACAACTTCTGTGGAAAATATATTAAACTCTCTAAGGTTGAAGAAATATAAAGCTATATTCTAAATGTGTTGTAGGAAAAATGATTTATAAATCGGATATAATTATTATATTATATAACAAGAAAATTTTAATTTTTCCTCTGCAGAATTTGTTTTAAATCTCCTTTAAATATAAATATCATAAAACACCTGAAATAAAACCAAGATATAGAGAAGGGGTGTTTGAGTCATTGTGTAATCCTCATTGCAATAGAATTCATTCCTAAGACATCTTCTTTCATGGTGAGAATTCTTCAGCCTCAATTTAAGAAAATATTTCATTATGCATTTAAATATATTATAATAAATGTTGATTTATTACTCTGATAATCTCTATGGCATTTTAAAATTAAATTTATTACAGAGCATGCAGATGCTTGCATGTTCTCAAACTTAAATGTCCCCAAACAGTGAACCAGACCTCTTGTTCTGTCTCTTAAAAACTGACGGGTAAACTTTATGTTTTTAAGGGACACTATTATCAGTTGCCCTTATATACAGGGTTCAGTTTGAATGGACGTGTCCTATTAAAACACAATTCTCGCCACATATATTCCATTGTCAGAAAGGACTGATATTCCTAGAAGACACATTGGCCTTTTTGCATTTGCAGCTCAGAAATTGGAATGATTGGAAGATTAGAACTTGCTTTGCAGTTGTGCACCGTAATCGAGTGAATAGTCAGATATAAGGTGAATTAACATATGCAAGCATTTCACTTTAGACAGTGTCCAATAGCTGCTAATACAGTCTCCTTAGCGAGTGGTTTTGCCTCCCAGAGTTCAGCATAGTGCATGTATGTATAGTTTAGTGCCTCCCAAACATGCTTGGTTCCTGCTGTGCTCAGTTTGCTTCACCGAGAGGCCGTGACCTCTAGCCGAGAGGTAGAAAGGTTGAGGTTGCCGTAGATCTACCGACGCAGAAGTGTTCATCTTGACACGTAGGACTGTCTTCTTCATCTTCTCCTGTTCCTCTGTCAGTCCTCGAGCCCTGGAGTTCATGGAGGTACTCTCCAAGTTCCTCCTTATTTTCCACCCCACAGACTCTCCCTGCTTTTAGTTGCCATCTATTCCAGTGGTTTCAGTCACTCCCAAATCTAGATCTCTTGCTTGGAGCATTTTGTCTGGGCTTCACCCAGTGCTGGACAGTTGCATGGGGTGCACCTGCACAGCTAAACCCATCATTATCCTCTTGTCTTTCTTTCTTCAGCAGGTAATGTGGCCATCTACCCATTGCTCACGCCAGATACTTGGAAATACATCTACCCCCGTGCCATATACAACAATTAGGCTTGAGATAGCGTCAGTTTAATAAGCCCTAAAAGAAAGGCCCCAGAAGGCTGTAAGGGCAGCATTAGAAAACCTCTTATCATCGGGGCTGAACCTTTGCTTCCAAGACCTCAGAATCTTTTTTAGTGTACTCGTCTTAATTCTAAGAGTATGGCAGCCTGTGGTAGGTGTTCTTAGCACTGCAGAGATAAATCCGTAAAGCAAGAGACCGTTCCATCTCACCGATGCAAGTTATTCCTGACTGTGGGTCACGAGTCAAGAATTTATGTCTGTGGTACAAGGATTATGCAATCCAAGTGAACAACTCAATATTTTAATGAACTGCCTACGTGAAAAAAATACTAATATTTTGGGAACATTGCAAAGAAATTTGGCTCAGTTTCTAGGCATGAAAATGGAGAATGCCAATGTCGGTCATGACTGGACCTGTGTGATGTACTGATAATGCCCAAGTTTGTCTTAGGGTCCTAATTCCTTTGTTGGGATTTTCTTTTTTCCTTTTTTTTTTCCTATATGAACTAGGTTGCTTTCAAGTTTTAAAATATTTCTTCCTCTGCCCTTGGGCTGGAAATGTAATAGTAATTCCTAAATCTAATTTTAGAAGGTTCCTTTTTTTTTTTTTTAAATTTACCACAACTTAGACCTCTCTGAAACATTTTTGAGCCCAGTCACATGGCATGTGATGGCATCCTGCAGCCCCAGCAATTTGCATCTCCCTGGCTCCCTGGAGAAATGACCTTGAAATGTTCAGATATCTTAATGGCAACAAGAGAACATTGGCCAAACGGAGCCCTTGAAAAAGATCCTAAAAAAATCTGTAGAGTACTATTTCTTAAATTACTGCCTATATTCACATCAAGACTTTTTTTTTTTAAATCTTTCTAGGTATGGAGAGGCATTATTTATGAATTCCAAACTCATTAGTGGAGTCACAGAGTTTCTTAATACCGAAGGTGAACTCAAAGAGGTAAATATTTTAATATGAGGTCTAATGCTTTTCTCTTATAAATATATGAAATCATACATTTACTTTAACCATTTTTTCCAACAGATTCATATCCATTTCTTTAAAACACACACATTTATGCTAAAGACTTCACTTGATTCATTATTTGCAAAGGTCTTTCTATTACATTAAACATTAAATGTCATCAGGGCGCCTGGGTGGTTCAGTCAGTTGAGCACCTGACTCTTGGCTTGGGCAAGGTCATGATCTCAGAGTGTTGAGACTCCCTTTTGAGGGCCCTGCATGCTCAGTGCAGTAACTTGTCTCTCTCCTTCCCCCTCTGTCCCATCCCCCGGCTCCCCGCACACGTGTGCTCACTCTCTCAAGTAAATCCATAAACTCTAAGCAAAAAACAAACATCGAATGCCTTCGAGAGATGCTTGAATGTAGTAAATCTCACACCGGGGACTCCAAATCTGCTGCAGATACCTTTCATCTAATCAGCCGTGCCTCTGCTGATTATACAAACCCAGTGTAGGATCCTAGAAATAATAGAACTGGCCTTCCCAGTGATTCAGTATTTGGGTACAAAGGACCCAGGCTGGTGTTAAGGTGTAGACCTTGAGTCTCCCTGCTTTGTGGTCAGGCTGAGAGAGGGAGCGGGTCACTGGGTGTGTCAATAATGCCTCGTGCCATCGAGTCCGTTCAATGAAATGAAATCATATGTATGATTATAATAGTCTGTTGAAAATTCTGCTTGATATAATCCCAAATAGGGCAGCCCGGGTGGCTCAGGGGTTTAGCACAGCCTTCAGCCCAGGGCGTGATCCTGGAGACCCGGGATCGATTCCCACGTCAGGCTCCTTTGCAAGGAGCCTGCTTCTCCCTCTGCCTGTGTCTCTGCCTCTCTCTCTCTCTCACTCTCTGTCTCTGTCGCTCATGAATAAATACAAAAAAATCTTAAAAAAATAAGATATAATCCTAAATAGCTTTCATTAATGAAAATAATTATTTAAGGATTAGCGTCCAGTTTGGAGTGCATCTAACATTTCCTTTGTTTTCTCTGGTTTATTTCTCTGGAAACTTAAACCAGCTTTATTTATTTGTTTGTTTTTTTATTTGTTTGTTTGTTTATTTATTTATTTATTCATTTATTTATTTTTGACCATTAAATCACATTTGTAAAAGAGAAGGGTGTGAAATGGGGAGCGGTAAGTGTGTAGGAGGGAGGAAAGAAATACAGATACTTTGGAAGGATTCAGAGGAGCTAAGCTTCCACCATCTATCACTTTTTCATCTGCCTCCTGCCTCGGTCGTAGAAGGTAGGCGAGGTCTGGCCCTGAGAGTCCCGGCTACCTGGGCTTCCCGGGAAAGAATGCCTGAGGCTGTGGCCCAGAGCCCCGCACGGGGAGCCATGCTCCCCCAGAAGCATCCACCCTTCACATATCCTAATATTGCCCAATGTCCGAGGCGATCCCTCAAACATCAGCTTGGATTCTTGTACGCTCGGAGCTAAGGTGAGCCAAGTCTCTGATTGTTATGATGTGCAATTCAATTTTTGTCCCGGCCAAGTGTTCCCAACCCAAAGGATTTAGTTCTGCAAGCCCCAGCCCACGTTTTGCTGTTTGTTTGTTTTTTTTTTTAAATTAAGGAAGCTCAACGAGAAGGGCTTCTTTCATATCCATATGAAACAGAATGAAAGAACAATTAAATGAACGATCGCTTCCAATTTTTTTCTGTATTTAAATGAAGTACTTTTAATTTCTTGATTTTACATTCAGTAATCAGTGAGTGAAAGACTCATTTAGTCACAACGTGCGAAGCCGCTGAAGTGAGCAGAGCACAGGAGTGACAGGACCCCCTTGCCCTCCTTTAGCCCCTTCCTCCTCCGTACCCCGTACCCCGTCTTCTCTGCCTTGGACGCTCGCCAGCTGCCCCTCCGCCGTTGGCTCCCGTCCTTCTTCCCCCAACTCCTGTCTGTCCTTCATCCTTTCCTCCCCCCGTAAAACCCAGGCCTCGGGGAAACATCCTGGAAGTGGATACATACTTGGTGGCCATCGTGTGCCGACCGACCACTTTGTTTCATGTATTTCACACATATTTTTTTGAGATGTTTCCACTTGAGTCAATGGCCATTTGGAACATCCTTATAAGGAAGGTGCAGTTTCAAAGCTGACATGAAACTGTGGCTTCTACCCCATCGCCTGCCAAGCAGCTGACTCAGGGGACTGTGTCTCGGGGCGGGGGGGGGGGGTGTCCCTCATGCAGCTGCCCGTGCTGACCTTCCAGCTGACAACCCCTGTCCGAAGCTTCTCCACACTTCCGTGACCCCTTATCGTCCTTAGGGCAGGGGCCACCGCTGTAAGGCCTTGTAGTGCTAACAAGCCCGGCCTGTAAGATGAAGAGGGTGAGGGACCTCCAGGCGTGACCTTCCCTGACCCCTGAGACTTGCAGGTGCCAGGTCTGGGCTGGGGGGGAGTGGTGCCCTTCACGGCCTGGCCTTATTCTCCAGGCATGACCTTCCCTGACCCCTGAGACTTGCAGGTGCCAGTTCTGGGCTGGGGGGCGGGGGCTCCTGCACGGTCCGGCCTTATTCTCCAGCCAGGCATGACCTTCCCTGACCCTTGAGACTCGAAGGTGTCAGGCCCACCCAGGGGCACCCGGCAGGGCCTGGCCTTACTCTCCAGGTGTGACTTTCCCTGACTCCTGAGACTCCCAGGTGCCAGGCCCAGGGGCGCCCTGCAGGGTCCAGCCTTATTCTCCAGGTATGACCTTCCTTGACCCCTGAGACTCCCAGGTGCCAGGCCCACCCAGGGGACCCTGCAGGGCCCGGCCTTATTCTCCAGGTGTGACCTTCCCTGACTCCTGAGAATCCCAGGTGCCAGGCCCAGGGGCACCCTGCAGGGTCCAGCCTTATTCTCCAGGTGTGATCTTCCCTGACCCCTGAGACTCGCAGGTGCCAGGCCTGGGGCAGGGGGGTGGGGGGCGCCCTGCAGGGTCCAGGCTTATTCTCCAGGCGTGACCTTCCCTGACCCTTGAGACTCGCAGGTGCCAGGTCTGGGGTGGGGGTGGGGCGTCCTGCACGGCCTGGCCTTATTCTCCAGCCAGGCGTGACCTTCCCTGACCCCCGTGTCTCCCAGGCGCCCGGTCCACGGGCTAATGTCTGAAACTAGACCTCATGGCAGGCGACGGCTAAGTCAGGTCACCCACGTAGTTACGGGGAGTGCGTGATGTTCTGCAGCTTACTGCTCATTGATTTTGTGATGCTTGGGGTCTAGGGTTCCCTAAAATAAGAGGCTGGTTGGGTTTGCTTTTTTAAAAAAAAAAACATGAAAATATTTTCTAACCGAAAAATGAACAAACTTGTCTAGAAATTTTATGCTAAGAACAGGAAGCACAAACAACTCTGACATCCCACTAAATGCCATTTTATAAAAACTATACTGGAAACATTTTCAAATAAAAGCCTAGGATGGTATAAATATTTAGGGAACACAATAAGAAAAGCTAATCACAGCAGGAAGCCGACCAAGGAGCAGCCGAGACAAGCAAAGTGGGTTGGCAAGCGCCTCCGGTTCCCCGAGCCTGTAGAGCCGGGCAGGGGCCCGAGGGTCCCGGGGCCGCACCCCAGGGCCAGCCAGGTGGGTGCTCGGGGCACGTGCTCACCAGAGGAGCTGCAGGCAGTGTGGGCTTGAAACCAGTTTGTGCCGGCTGTGCACGTGGGTCGGACATGTTCTGCTGACCCATCCCCGGCCCTCGGCTCTCTGGGCTCGCGGGGACTCTGTAGTCACTTCGACCCTGAGGGAAGGAATGGATCCCTGCGGGCTCACCGCTTACATTTTATTTTTAAAGATTTTATTTATTTATTCATGAGACACACACACAGAGAGAGAGGCAGAGACCCAGGCAGGGGGAGAAGCAGGCTCCCTGCGGGGACCTGATGTGGGACGCGATCCCAGGACCCCGGGGTCACGCCCTGGGCTGAAGGCAGATGCTCAACCACTGAGGCCCCGGGCGCCCCCACTACCTACACCTCTTACTGGTCGTTCTCCTGTGGGGTGATTTGACCTACTGCCCTGTGTCGGTGACATGTCCACACTCGGGCCCTCGTTGGCCTCTGAGGAGGACCTAGGAGCTGCCCTGTGTGCTCCGGCTGCCTTGCTGTGTCTGTCATTGAGGGGCCAGGAGCGCGTGGCACACGGGCCAAGTTGCCGAGAGGGCCATTTGCACGGTCCTGCCGGGGAAGGAGGCGATGATGCAGATTATCATAAGAGGAGTGAACAGGACTTTCTCCCGATTGGCGTCGATCACGTGAACATCCCTGTCACGGGCGCCCATGTGCTGTGGTTTACACAGCTTTGTAATAAAACAATACCTAGGCCCTCGTGTAGTATTTGTTGCTTTAGGAACATAGACTGGATGAGTCCAAACCTACAAACCCGAACGAATTATTGGATTCATCAGTTAAAGTCTAAAAATATGGGGATCCCTGGGTGGCCCAGCAGTTTAGCACCTGCCTTTGGCCCAGGGCCTGATCCTGGAGTCCCGGGATCGAATCCCGCATCAGGTCCCCACAGAGAGCCTGCTTCTCCCTCTGCCTGTGTCTCTGCCTCTCTCTCTCTTTCTGTGTCTATCATGAATAAGTAAAAATAAAATCTTTAAAAAAAGTCTAAAATTACGATTCGATTCTTCCCTTTCACCTACGTGCATGTGCCACGAGCACATGTGTGCGGCGCAGTGCCCCGGATATTGGAAGATACCCGCTGGGTAACTCCAGTGTCTTCCCCTCTTCCTCTTGGTGTGTGTGAATTTGGTACAAATGTCAGATCAATTTTTGGGGTCGCATCAGTTAAGTCTTTGCTACCTGTTGGCTGTTTTACACGTTTGTGATAAAAGCCTAGTGCCTTTGAAGCCTCCCAAAGGAGGTAACCGTGGATCACGCTGCAGGGGCACGGGGTTTGGGAGGACAGGAGAAAACACGCTTTGGCAAAACCCACGGGTGTCATGTAGTCCGAGGAAGAGCATCGTAAACCAGCCAAGCTACCGATGAACCAGTTTCTAGATTAAACTCATCGGGGCATCAGGAAGTCCATTTGAAGTGCCGGACCGCCTCCCATTTCTCCCTGTCCCTGCGTCCCTCTTGAGGGACTGCATTTCCCTCTTGCCACCTACTCCCTGTGACTGCCCCCCCCCCGCCCCAGGTGATGAATCGCACCGCACACTAATTACACCACTAATGTTTCTGTGCTGCAAGCTGATTTGTCACATTTTGCCCGTTGGCATTGCGGTCGTTGGTTGGTTGCCAGTTTCTTAAGACACATCTGAGGGGGAGAGAGAGAAGCTGCGGGTATTTAATCATGAAACAAAAACCCCAGAGTATGAGAACTCTCTAGAGAAAAATCGTATATCCAGAAAAATAATAGCACAGCATTTAAAAACCATAATGTGTTTGAATCGAGGGCTCCAAGTATGTGGTTGCACGAGTCTGCCTTTAGCTTCCCTTCATTCTCGCCTGAGTCACTCAGGCGATGGAAATGCCATTAATCGCCCAGTTCTCATAACGCCATTGCCTTCTTCCCCCCACCCCATAACTGGTAACCCCTTGCTGCCAAACACGGGGTCACACTGTCATGCTACTTATTCGGAGGCGATGAAGAGGAGCCTTGTATTTACCAACCGAGAGAGAGAACTTTGGTCCTGGCCTTCAGTCTTCAAGGCTGTTGGTGCATTGGCTGTGCTAATTAGCGCTAGCCTTGGCCACTGTCCCGCCAACCTATTAGGAAGAGACCAAGACGTCCCTATTCCTATTTGCTTATGAAGCAACCAGCTGCACTTGGAGCTCTTTAAAGCGTAATGTCCACTCTTTCTTCCAAAAGGAAGCACATCGCCCCTCCCGGGCACAGTTGGCCCTACCGTGTTTGGCAGTTCGCTTGCTTCGCGGCCCACATAGGCCTCCTGTAGCGACTGGTACCTTGCGTCCCGTACGCCCTCGCTTGTGTGTGTTTAGCCGGGAGTTTGTTGGAGCTCCCCCCCCCCCCCGCCCTGTGTTCACCCGTCTACAATCTTTCTTCCCAGTTGAAGAACTTCATGAAGACCTATGATGGAGTGGCTGCTGCCTCTTTCTTGAGAGCTGTGGAAACGGTGGAGGCCAACGTGCGCTGGAAAGCGCTGTATCAAGATGAGCTCTTCCAGTGGTTAGGAAAAGCTCTGAGACACTGAGATCGCTCTTACCAACAACCCAACCCAGGATGCTGGGAGGAGACCTGCCTTGCACGGACTGAGGAAGATGCGCCATGTGGAAAATGGCCAGATTTTCAGTGTTAACGTGTGGGAGGAAATCTTTTTTTTTTTTTTTTTTTGTATTTTAGATTTTTTTTTGGTTTTGGGGGATTTTTTTTTTTTTTTTTTTGGTTTGTTTCCTTCATTCTGTTTTGTTTCTCTACTGGGTGTTCTTCTCTAAAGAAACTCTCGCAAGTGACACTAGCCATGATTGCTTCAGCTGTACATTTCCCCCGCTGTGACGGGACCAAATACGATAGTGGTGCATGTCGATGTTGCAGTCAATTTGGAAAAAAAAAAACAATTCCGAATATTTTGTGCATGGTTGTATGGTCCTGCCTGTGTTCAGCATGCTTATTTAAAATGTCCAATGTCGTATGTGAATATATGTTACATCCAGGATGGGCATTATACAAAAGCACAAAGATTATCTATGACAATCAGTGTTGCAATGAGAGAAAAATGACGACGAAATCATGTTCTTAGTCCCGGGCAACGTGAGAGGTAAAAACCGCCCTTGGAGGGATCATTATTATCACCTATTTCAGCACTTGGATTGTCTCACAGTGATGACTGTGTTGCTGACTCATTTTCTTGGAGTTAAAGCCGTGTGTATGCTCAACAAGGCTCACAGGTGATGTGTGCACATGTACCTGTACGTAGGGAAGCCCTGTACATAGTGTCGTGCACTGCACTTTGGCAAAGAATCTCTGCAGATCGAAGAGACTTTATCTCTTTTTATAAACGTATGCAAACTTTGAAAAGGCCTAAAAGAATTCGTCTCAACCCTATCCTTCCTGACAATTCCCTGACTAAATTTCTCAACCATTAGAGATTTCTTTTTTTCATCTATTTCCTGAACCAATAGCCTATTTTACTACATGAAAATGAATTCAGACAGAATTTATGTGTCAACATTCTTCTAATTCTCCAAGGTGGCAGCCTCGGATCCTAAATATATAGATTCTATATTATATATATTCATTCAGTCTTCCTATTGCGTAAAACAATTGTGCACATTTAATAATTATTATCAGTGCTGAGAAGGCACTTCTTTCCCATCTTGTTTGTTTTTCCATCTCAGGTTGGGTGGCCCGGAGGGTCAGAAACTCTCTGTGTGTGTTGGTCTTTGCGTCTGTGTCGATCTAACCCTCCATTAAGTGACCGTACCTCAAGTGGGTCTGATACCATTTAATGACCTTTGATGTGACTTGTACCGTCTATTCGGATGAAAACTACTTTTTTTTGAGCAAAGCTTTTCGTTTGGCATTGACAGCTCTCTTCTACCTAGGAATTTTTTTTTCTACCTAGGAATTTTAAATAACATTTTTCGTGGCTGTGTGCCCTGTAACACAGTGCTTTTACATGGTTTTCTCGCCCAGTAGGCCGGCTCTCCAAACATTGCCCAGCTGCTCCGAAATGAACATATTTTCCGTTCGCCGTTCTAAAATACCAACACAGCTACTAGACCCCAGCCAAAAGCTTGTGGACCACTTTCTACTCTCCTGGGGTTTCCCACTCCTCCAAATCCTCCTGTGAATTATTGAGAGAAATATATTCTAACTCTCATAGTCACTGAACATGGGGGTAGGGGGGGAAATACAGATGTTTTAGAAACCAGAGCCATAGATTTATTTTGATTTTGTAGCACAAAGGAGCAGTTTCCTAATCCACTGAACTGGAATCACCTAAAATGGAATTTTGTCTTTTTCAGCGATTAATATCTATCACTCACACCTGAATTTTTCAGCACTTCATTCAATCAAAGCGCATGAATTCCAAATACACCGTGTGGTACGAGTAAGACACAGTGCTACTTAGTATGAAATCTAAAAGTCGTTCCACTGACCAGAAGTTGTGAAATTTAACAATGACGTGTCAGAAAAATAAAATCCATAAGGGACAAGTTCTGATGCATCATTATGGTACATATCACACCGCTGGGCAGGTCCAAAGCATGTACTGTGGCCCCCCTGGGCTCATGGAACAGAGGCAAATAGATAAAACATGAGAGGTGGGTGTCTTATTTCATGTCCTGAATTATTGGAAATTCTTAGTAGTCGTGACATTCTTTTGAGCGAAATCACCATTTCCAGTTTTGAGTTAGAAAGACTTCTCGAGTTCCTTTTTCCTCCCCACTGTTAGTCATCTTAATCCTCTGTCAGTGTTTTAGTGGCCTTGGACAACTGGTTTAGCAACAATGTCAAATCCTCAATGTGTAATTCTGTGCAATGTTCAATACCTCATAGAATATCTGTTCAACGGTATAGTAGTATCAATGGCATTGAGATGGAATTTCTGTTCTACATATTTTTCAATAATTTATCCTTTCCAATGTTGAAGATTATATCAGGCTTTAACGTTTTTTAGTTGTTTGGATAAGTAATATTTTCAAAATAATAAAATGACCAATGATATCTCTTGGAATATTCTGTACACTGTAGTTATAAAGTTCTATTTTCTACATAGAGTTTTTATCTTGTTTCTCTCCTTTGTATGTTTTGCAAGTCCTACTGATGCATGAAATAACAAAGTGTTGGAAGTGTTCAGTTCCTAGGCTTGAATCTTTACTGTGCCAATATACATACAAACACAAAACTTAGTTTCAATTAGACAGGACTGAACTGTTTACCTTACCGAATATTAAACATCACCAGGTGACTTGGGAATAAAAAGTTTTCCCCATTTGCACATGTTTTCCCTTAAAATTTTCTTAGAGTCTTTAAGTCTTTAAAATACAGATGAGCACAACCTCCGAGGTTTTAATTTCTACAATGCTATGTTGATTCCTGAATTTCAATAACACAGATTTTACTTGGAGCTTAAGCTGGTATGGGTTTATATTACTTCCAGGATCCTGTGTATCACAGGACTGAGGTTTGGCAGTGCTCTTTACGAGCGTGACCGTATAATATCTTACAAGGTCATTACGATTATAACGTACTTATAAATTGCATTTCGTTTGCAGAGAGCTTTTCCACGTGCTGTTTTATTGGCTCCTTTCAAAAACCTAATAAATTATATTAGCCCTGATAGTCTAGTGAAAAACACTGAGGCTCCGAGTAGCGACGTGAACCATTTAAAAATACGTAGTTGTTATTTGGGGAACGGACATAGTAACCTTAGACTTTCCATAAAACCTTCCTACAACGAAACTAGAAAGACATGCCTCTACCCATCGCACAAGTTGGAGATTTTCCAAATGCCAGAAGCAGCATCAAAATTTGTGATGAAATAGGTCTACCCTAATTATATTATATTTCAAAGCCTGTGTTTCTAATCTGCATGATGTCAAACACCTGGATGAAATGTTCACCAGCAGGTCACGTTAGGATAAGCAGCCCACCCCAATATTGTGACAAAAATATACAGTTCATTGATGATAGTTTCCTTTTTTGATCTTTTGGTGCACACTGTTTAAACACGACTTTAGCATGGTGATAATCCGCTTTATTTTTACACACATTTCTCTGGTAAGCTCTATCTGTCGTAACAGATGGTTGGACCACAGATAAAATGGTTTCCATCTAAATCAGTGAAAATAATAGTCAGTGATATGTTTATAAATCTATGCAGACTAAATTGTGAAAAGCAATGTTCATGCAGCTGCAGGACTGGATTGGATGCAGAAGAGGAATTCCTGAAGAACTTTACAATGATGTATTTAATTACAATCTACTGGCTATTACAATTTTAAGGAACTTTTGTTCCGGAGAAATTTTCAAGACCTAAAATAAACTAGCTCAATTATTCTCAGGATGACCATGAGGTAACCACATACACATAATAAGCAGTAAAAGTTTGTATAATGAGAAATTAAGATTCCTACACTTGGCTTTTTTTTTTCCTTCCTTTGTCAGAGGTCATAGCTGGATTATTATCATTTGACACTGCTAATTATATAGGACAAAATTCAATTTAATTAACCAAATATTTATTGAGCACATTTTATTTCACAAAATGAAGGAAAAGGGAAGAAGAGCAGAAAAAGGCCTGAAGGAATTCACATCACAATAAATTAAACAAACGCAAATCATGAGCCAATCAGAGTGAGGGTGACATGAAAAATAATTACATGCGACCGAAGAGAAACTAAATTTTTAGGTATAGATAAGATTATGCAATTATTTTTGTACACTAGTCTTCAAAACTTATGGTCCTTTAGGATAATTCTCAATGTTTGGTTACACAGCACTTAATTGTGTTTTACAGAAATGTGTAACATTTAGAAAGTATAATAAAACCACACGGTTTAACTTTATAATTAGAATATAAATTGGGATAGAATTTATCTTTAGGAAAAGCTATTTGAGCAATTTAAAAATATCAGTAAGTTGCAGGAAGAATGTTTAACCTACTTAGGTAAAAGTAGTTCAAGTTTTCTAAAATGGGTTTAGCATACTATTTGTATATTCACAATGTGTTAATTTTAAGTTAATCATTTATTCTTTAAAGCAGGTTCAACAATTCTTATTCTAGGCAATAACATATTTGTTCAAATTAGTGTATGTGAACTTTTGTGTACAAAAATGTTCTTATAAAATATTCTAAAATTTCAAATTTCGGTTCTAGAAGAGTAAGCTTGAGTTCAATTGCTTTGAATTAATAAGGATTTTTTTTATTAAAATATTTTGTTTAGTGTGGTTTCTATTCAGGAAAATTCTAACAAAAGGGAACTCTAGGACCTTGTGTTTTCCATTTTATTTTGTGAAGTCTCATTTCAAAGTTTAGAAAAGTTAAATGTTTTAAGTTTAAAGAGTCTTAAATATGAGAAATAGGCAGTTGGTGAAAAGTATATGTTCTAATTTTAAGTATACTGTATATGTATAATGATAGGGATTGTATTTGTGAAAATAAGCTTTTCACAAATAGTCATATTAGTAGTAGGTATGATTTTATTCAGATTTTGAAAACAGCACATTAAGGGACTTTATTTTGAATTTTTA